GTGTGTGCGGATGTGCGCATATATTCAAAAAGTCAAAGAATATTCATCCAAAGGCGAACAATCACTACCTCTTGGGAGTAGAGTGAAAGGGATACACCTTCCTTTTTCTTTATAGTTTCTTTATTTTTTTATGAAATGTTTGCAATGAACAGAAAAGCAAAGAAGTCGTTTGCTGATCATGCGCACATAGAGATAAAGGAGAAGGGAAGGAACCAGGAGTGCATAATTGAATCACCAGCCCCCTGGGCCCTCCGCAGGACAGGCAGTGATGAGGCCCCCCCAGGGCGGCTGGCAGGAGGGGCTGTGGGCAGGACAAGCTCTGTGCACCCACCTCGTCTGGCTGTAGGTCCTCCTCCAGCTGCAGCACCTGCTTCAGCGCCTCGGCGACCACCACTCTCCGCTTCTCCAGGAACTCCAGCTCAGCCTGGCACAGACTGTAGCCCAGCCGCACATCCAGCACCTCGGGGCTGTGGGGAGAAGAGATGCTGCGGACCACTCCTGTGGGTGCCCGCTCCTTGAAAGGCATGGCTTCAGGGTGTGTTGAAGACCGGTTCTGCCACGTACCACCCTGTGACCTGAGGCCTGAGCATTCTAATCGGGAACATGGGGCTGACCATGCTTAATTCCCAGCATTGTCTTTCATACTGAATCAGCTAGCAAAAGGAGAGTCCACAATCACAGTACTCTCCATTCTACTTTGGCAATGGGGGTCTTAAAAGCAATTAGGGCAGCGGTTCTCAACCTGTGAGTCACGACTCCTTTGGGGATCAAACAACCCTTTCACATGGGTTGCCTGATTCATAACAGTAGCAAAATGACAGCTATGAAGTAGCAATTAAAATAATTTTATGGTTGGGGGGTTTCCACAATGTGAGCTGTATTAAAGGGTCGCAGCATTATGAAGGTTGAGAACCCTGGATTAGGGTCTTAAAGCTCAGGAGTGGCTGTCTAAGGTACAAATATTGTTATCCCCCTGTCTGGAGGAAAGACGCGTGTAGGAAATGAGAGACATGTGGAGACAATTAGTCCGATGGACGAATGGACTGAACTTGACCCTGAGACCAGAAGAGCTAGATGGTGCCCCGCTACCACTACCACCTGCTCCAAAATGGATTGTCTTAGAAGGTCCTGGACTGAGTTGGAGAAACATGTGGAACAAAACTCAAAATCATTAAAGAGACCAGGCTTACTGTTGATAGAGTCTGGTGGAACCCTGAAGACCATGGCCCTTAGTCACCCTTCAGGTCTGGAAATGAATTCACCCCCAGAGCTCAATTTTCAGCCAAATAATAGACAGCTCAAGAAGGAGAACATTAACACTAGGGAGATAGGCACACCATAGACTAACCCACCATTTAAGATCAAAAGAGTTACATTTGCCTGGGACAAAACTCAGAGGGCTAAGAAAGGAGGAGGAACAGACAGGAAGTCTAGGGATGAAGCGGGACATGTGATCTTGCATCGAAGGGTTTGCAGTGACTGAGATGAAGCAAACTGTGTACGAATTACTGAATGTAAAGCTGATGATCTGCTCTGTCAATCTTCTCCCAGTGAAAAGTCTTGTAAAAACTCCACAGAGTTTATCCAGCACCCTGTAAGTAGATATTCAACAAAAAGAACTACTGGTATTTATATCAGGGTCTCACTGGACCCATGACCTCCTCAACAAGATCTGGAACATTCCGAAAGTCTTCCCTCACATCCTCGGAAGTCCACCCCTCCAGTGGCTCCAAGGCAAGAGTCCTGGACATTTTCTGACCGAGCCTTGGCTCATTAAAAGGTCACATCTCCTTGAAGGTGGCCCTGGGAGCTCTTCCCATCATGTCTAGCACAGAACTGCAGACAAGAATGGAGGCCTATCACTGTTTGTTTGGCTTCAATAAGGAATGGATAATACAACAGCAATCATAACATTAGCTGACATTTGCTGAGCATCCCACTGGCCAACCGATAACTGAATACTTTCTATGGGTTTTCTCACTGGAGTCTCAAAGCAACCCAACAACATGCAGTGTTCTTGTGATTGCTCCCAATTTACAGATGAGGAAAACTGAGAGACTTAGGTTACACAACTTGTCCAAAGACCAATAGCGAATAAAATTAAATGAAGGTGTGGTCAATTGATTTTTGACAAGGATGCCAAGGCAATTCAATGAGAGGAGCATAATCCTTTCAACAAACGATGCAGGGACAACTGAATACCGACATGCAAAAGCATGCATCTGGACCCTCACTCACACTGTTTATAAAAATTCACTCATGGATATAAACGGGAGAGCTAGAACTAAAAAAAAAAACTCTTAGAAACGATAGAGGGCCAAATGATCTTGGGTTAGCAAAGGCTTCTTAGATATGACACTGAAACACAAGTGACAGAATAAAAATAGACAATTGGACTTCATTAAAATTAAAAAGTTTTAGGCTGCAAAGGATGCCATCAAGAAAACACAGCCCATAGACTTGGAGGAAAGATTTGCAAAGCATAGCTCTGATACAGGATTTACAGCCAGAATAACAATGCTAACATCTCAATAATAGACAAATAATCCAATTAAATAATGAAGGATCTTGACAGACATTTCTCCAAAGAATATATACTAATGGATAATAAGCACATAAAAGGATGCTAAACCTGCGTGATCACGAGGTGCCAAAGGGATCAGTTATCAGGCATCAAAGAACAAAAAATCATATTATTGTGTGCTCACCTCCCTGATACAATTGCTGAAGACAAATGGGTGCATAAGCAAATGTGGCGAAGAAAGCTGATGGTGCCCAGCTATCAAAAGGTATAGCTTCTGGGGTCTTAAAGGCT